AATAGTCCTCGGACCGCTCAAAGTGGGCGATCTGGCATTGTCGGTGTCGTACTCCCCGGATGGAACAAAACTAGCAGCAGGCACAAATGAGCACATCATCGTATGGAATTCAGCAAGTGGAAGAGAGTCGCTGAAGATAGAACAGCGGGCATTCAGAGTCGCATTCACCGTGACTCCAGATGGTCTCCGTCTCGTCAGTGTTGACCAGAATGACATCCGAATATCAGATGCTACCACCGGAGACATCATCAAACAGTTCGACGCGCACACCGAATTCTTTTTATCACTAGCCATTGCTCCCAGTGGCACCAAATTCGCCACCACATCATACGACAAGACGATGCGGTTCTTTGACCTGACCACTTTCGAACCCATTGACGAGCCACTCGAGCACCCTGATTTAGTTTGGTGTGTGGCATTTTCCGAGGACAGCAAACTCATCGCGACTGGCTGTAAAGACAGCTATATTCGCACATGGACAGTTCCTCTGGTGGAGTCGGAGAGGGAGCTTCAACAGGTGAAAATTGATCTTCGTGCCATGCCTCATGCTGACCTGTCATACAGTTCACTGAAAAAATTCTTGAGGTACGCTTTCACGTTTGTTGTTGTGTACGATCCCTAACTTCAGTCCTGCAGAAAACCATCCCACGCCAACAGTCAAGACGTGCTCCAATACCTACTAGTAGGTTTTTTGATGATGTAAGTTCATACAGTATATTCGATGCACGTCTCACCATCCTTTGACAGTTTGATCCACATCCTCCACCTGGACGTAACAATCCTGCTGCTACCGCCACGCGTCATGCTGAGGGGTCCGGGATCAAGAACATCATGAACCGTCTCTTTTCCCGCTTTTTCCCTCCCCAGGACCATACTCCTCGCTCACGCAGTATCCCCCTTGTAGACGTCTTCGCGACACGAGGCAAATATGTACATCTTCCTCCGTTTGACGCATCCCATGATGATGACACTTCCCCGCAGCGCACCGCTAATGCCCACAGTGGAAAAAGGGATAAGTTGTTGCAGCTACAACGTCCTCCTCGCAAGCAATCCTATGCCGGTGCCTCAAGCAGCAGCACGCCGCTGGCGGTGACATCCAATGTGGCTGATGAAACTACGCCAGCAACGTTGCAGACCGGAAATACCAGTGCAGCTAACAATCCCCCTTCCCTGTTGGATGTTGAACATGTTTCAGACATCGGCTGCTTTGCAGCTTTCACAAGGTGCTTCCCGCGTCTTTCACGTACTCGACGAATAAGTCCTACTACTCCCCACATCCGCTAAGCGGCCTCTCCTATCCGAACCTTTTCATTGGCATAGATACCACTGTCGCATTCATTTTCTTATGCAAACCAATGTCACTCCCGATAAACGACTGCAATTGTACTATGATACACAACATTCATAGATGTTCAGAATGGTATTTTCTCTTCATCATCCTTTCGGGAACTCTGGACAGAATGCGAAAACGGCAGCCAAGACTCTGATCTGGCACGCCTACACCACCTCGGGCTATAAAAAGACCGCGGTTTTGGTGACCTGGTCGGTGCCGTCGACATCCCCGCAATCTCGACTAAAGCACGACCTAGATCTTAACGAATCCACTAGAGAGCACTACACAACCACCCCGGCTTAATGAAGGAAAGCCAAATTGGTATGTCCAATAATTACTGTTCGTATCTCAACGTTTTCCATGTTGGCTTAACATCATTAGCCGGAGTCCCAACAATCTGATACAGTTCCATGTCTTGTATGATGCTGTTGCCAACGGTGATCAGGACATAGATATTATCGGCGAGAATCATTCTGTAAGTACTGGTGCAGTGATGCTCACGAGTCACAATATTAGAAGGACAAAATTCATTCATCACTACAGACTCGTCAGTAAGAGCACAATGATGCACAGAAGCTCGTTTCACACTCCTCAGTCTGCAGCTGGCGTTCTCTGTTCAGTGGTGATTATAAGGGATGCTTCCGTCGGACGCTCCACTCATAATCCACCGCTTATCTGGGGACGCTGCAACAGTCCTCGACACCCGCGCTATATCGATAGCAGTTTGTATGCTTAGCCTCGCGCGTATATGGGCCAGTTCAGCATCTCTCGCTCTGTGTCCACATGGCGGCCAAACTTGTAAGGAATCAATTGGCTTGCAGTGAGAAACTATGCAATGGTGCAAAACTGCCACTTTCAAGACCCAATTATGCTGGCAGGAACGAACATCTCATTCTCCCTTGGCTTGACCTGGAGGTACCATTGCCACAGCCAACTAGTATCAAACGATTAATTCGTTACGTTCATGTTATCACTTATCAGCACAAGATAAATGTAAGAAGAGATCTCGGGTCGACTGACTCAGGCGTGGCCAGGAAATTATATCAGTTATGACAGTTGAAACACAGTGAAAGCGGCCATGGCGCCTACTAAGGAAAACTCCTGGAAGAAGCGCTGAAGATGATCCGTATGCAGGATACCACGTGTCTACAGCAAAGCTGACATCAGGGTTCAGGGATAGTCAGTATCCTACAGAAGATGCAACCTAACGACCGCTCACCATAGCGCATGTAAGTGATTGTTGCTCCCTCGATATTCCTGCGCTCGCACATGGACAATTCCTCTGAGCGAGTCAGAGAAGGAGCTCCAACAGGTGAGCAAATCATCTCGTCGTATCATACTTCATGCCCGGTGACCTGTCATATAGTCCACTCATAAAATTCTCAATGTACGCCGCTTTCACACTCGTTGTTTTGTACAATCCCTAATTTCAGTCCTGCAGAAAACCATCCCAGACCCACGCCCTCGCCCAAAACGCGCTCCAATACCGACTAGTAGATTCTTCGATGATGTAAGTCCATATGATACAGTAGATCTGATGCGCATCTCACTATCCTTTGACAGTTTGATTCAACTGAACGCAACAATCGCGCCGGCACTACACGCAACGCCAAAGGCTCCAAAATCAAAAACGTGGTAGATCGTATATTTTCTCGCTCCTCCACGTCCCAGGGCCATACTCCTCGTATACTCGGGGTTCCCCTTGTGGATGTCTCTGCAACACGAGGTAGATATGTAAGCTTTCCTGACTTTTCGACATTTATCTAGTGACGTTGATATTGTCTCGCAGCGCACCGCTAATGCCCACAGTGGAAAAAGGGACAAGTTGTTGCGGTTACAACGTCCTCCTCGGAACTGGCAAGCTCATGCTGGTGCCTCAAGCAGCAGCACGCCACCAGCGGAGACATCCAATGTGGTCAATGAAGCTACACCAGCAACGTTGCAAACTGGAAGTACCAGACCCTCTTCCTCACTAGACGTCGCACACGCCCCACACAGCAGCTGCTTTGCGGTTCTCGCAAGGTGCCTCCCATGTTTATCACGACCCGCTTCAGGTTCCCACTAGGTTTCTTCTCCCTTCTGAGCATTCTCGTTGGAGTAGATCTTACTGGATTCGTTGGAAGATACTTACGCAGTTCGATGACGTTCCCTGTAGAGGACTACCATTGTACGCAGCATTGTCTCGTTTAGTTGAATAGATACCACTTATTCACCGGTCATACCTAATCTTCTGGATTGCTTGCGCTAACAGAGCAAACAATGATATGCTTCATCCCATACTTGCATGGTCAACTTAATGTACAGTACACATCCCAATAATGCATAATGAATAAAAAATTATAACAAATCAGGATCCAATCTTTTCGAGATGCACAAAGTCGTCCATTCATAGAAATGAGCTTGGTCCATATATTGCTGTTAATTATGGAAAGCCGGACGCGCGCGCTCCGTTACACGATGTGACATGCACCAAATGAGGTAGTCACACGATTGGGACACCGGACACCTCCTGACACCTCCCACGCAAGAAAATTATATCCCTTAGTCACATGATACAAGCCACATGGCACTTTTTCCTTGAGTGACGTCAGCACTCAAGGAAAAAGTGCCACGTTTTCTTGGTCATGTGACAGCGTCTATTAGGATCATATCGGAAAACATGACTCGCACATCTGAATTATGTCTGCATACATATACAAAATAGTTCTGATTAGACTCTGCAAAGAATATATACAAGAGGTCCTAGGGATCCACGAAGGGTGCGGGTTTTTGGGAGGTATGGCCAGCTCGTACCCTCACCCGCACCCGTGCAGGGTTTACCCATGGGTAGTACATATAAATATTAAGTTAGAACTATGAAAAAAAATGATTGTGAAAAAGAACTTACTGAGACATTGTGAACGGCAGGGAACGACTTGGATCAGCATGGCTCAAGCTTGAAGCGGGATCGACACACTGACAACCTGCAAATGGTGGGAAACGACTTGGATCAGCATGGCTCGAGCTCGGCACAGGACCAACACACTCACAAGCTGTGAATGGCGGGAAACGACTTGGATCAGCTTGGCTCGAGCTCGACGCAGGACTGACACACTCACATCCTGCGAACGACAGATTCAACTTGTATCAGCATGGCTCTTGCTCAAATGAGGATCGGCACACTCACATACTGCAAACGTTGGGCGATGACTTCAATCAGCATGGCTCGAGCGCGACACGGGACCAACACACTCACATCCTGCGAACGATGGGAAACGACTTGTATCAGCATGGCTCTTGCTTGAATGAGGATCGGCACACTCACGTTCTGCGAATGTTGGGTGCAGGCTCGGAGCACAAGACACTTCGCCTGTGGGACTTGAAGACAGGTGTTGTGTTGAAGAGGATGGAGGGGCATCACAGTGAGGTGTTGGAATTGGCGGTATCACGAGTTGGGAATTTGATAGCAAGCGGTGATAGCAGAGGAGAGAGGACATTGTAATGTGGAACTTGAAGATAAAAACTCACTTCGCTCCAAGCACAACCTAAACAGACGTCGAAAGGTTGAATTTGTGAGGCTGGTTAGATGTGGGATAACAAGTATTTGAAGACAATAAACGGGAGTTGGAAAAGACGTGCTGACGAAGTTGGAAAAGTGTCTGTTTACATGCGTTGTGATAGTAATTATCTAATTTTCTACAACTAGTGCTTCATCGTCATTTGCCTCCTTCACGAATGTTTCCAGCCCAAACCATCCACAGTACTCGTTGCAGGCATGCTGGTCTTCAAATTTGCTGACAGATGCCTCAATATTTCCCTCACCAAAAATATCACATCCATCGCTGACGGACCTATCCCAACATCAGTATTGAGTCTGAACAAATGAAAAAGACATACGGATGAGTCAGGACCTGAGGATCTGTGAGTAGTACTGTACTACCTGAATACATTGGGTCATTCAGCGCTGAGGATTGAATGTATCGAAAATCGGACATACCCTGATAGTCGGATATGAAAGCGAGCTTGCCAGTCTTGACATACTGGACATGCTGTGTGAAAACAAAGAATTCGGCCATGTCGTAGCCATAGTCCAATTCATCGAGCAATGGATTGGCGTCCATATTGTGGATGAATTTGACAAACATATCATCACCGCCCTCAATGAGCTCTTCAAGGAGAAAGACAGCCCGTGTTGACCCTGTCTTTGCTCCAGGCTTGCTACCCCCTTGGTGGTGGCACAATGCAAGGCCAGCTTCTACAAATCGAACACGTGGGACAGCAAACGGCGGGGGTTCAGGTGAGGACGCAATGGAACGATTGATGAAGTCGTATGTGAGCTTTAATAAAGACTTGGACCAGTATAGGACGTTGGCCTCTCTGAATAGCTTCTGTAGCTCGTCGACGAGTGAATACCGGCCAACTTTATAAGCTCCAACCTTCATAGCAGTCGGAAATACTTTTTCGAATGGCCGTTTGACCACGACCTTATGACGAGCCACTGATCCGAGACCAGTCTTGGGAGGATGAGCCATCCAGCGTTCGCAGTCTTGAAGCCACCAATTCCAATGAAGCCGTCCGTCGATGTATCAATAGTCAGCTGTCCAATGGAAGATTCAGCCGTGTCCACCGAAAATGAATGATGCTGTTTGTGTAGCAAGAGGTCGGTGATATCGCGGGTAGGGATTGGGTGAAATTGCACACTTTCACTATGTAGTCCAAAGACTATAAAATACTAGTAAGTGCTAATGCAATTTGAGAAATCCGTGAACGAGCATACCTTGCTTTACATTTAAGTTGGCACCTCCGCCGATCTTCAAGACTTCTTTGAGCAGATCACGATCAGGTGAATGAAAAGCTGTGGGAGGTGGATTCTTCTTTCGAGGTGGAGATGAAGTACCACTGAGACTGCTAGAGCTTTCAGCACGCTGGTGGGCTCTCTTGGTAGAGACCGTCACAGAATTGTTGGTGGTCACGGATGGTAAGAAAAGCTCATTTTCAGCGAGCGAAGTTGTTGCTGATGAGGGCACATTGAAACTGACGGCTGTGTGAGCAGTAGCATGTTCACTAGACTGAGTGCAGCTCGTTCGGATAGCTTCAGCTTCCTGGACCGCAAAACTAAGGTTAGGGCACTAGTAAATAGACAACATAAAATATACATACCATTTCCGCACGAAGTTCCAACCAATTCTCGTATTCATTCCACTGGGCCTCCGGGACAACGACCATCAGCGCAAATTGTTTAGATTTGAAGGTCGATTTGGTGCCTTTGCGAGATGGCTGCAGGCACTGATCATAGAAATAGGGAACCAATTGTGGGTGATTGGATAGGTCCACCCATGCAGCATCTCGGATTATGAACTCCTCAACACGCCAGACAAATTCTCCATCGAATTTGCGTAACTTTGGGACGACAGTCTCCAAAGCTAGCTTGATGAGCCCAGATGCGTCAATTCGAGCATCAACATCCTTCCTACCCTCACATATGTTCTAGTAAGCTGAAGTGTAAGTAAGTCACAGCACATTTTAAGATGTAAACATACTCCAATAGGAACACCTCGTTTTTTGCGCGCTCCGGCACCTTCGTGAACCACAGTAATTTCAAGTAAAATGGTCTCTGCTAGAGATGAAGCGTATGCCATTTTCCCCCAGTGGTCACGCTCAGCAGCATAAAGTGCGTGTTGCGACGAATACCCAATGGCACCTTGTTGTGACGAATGCCGGATGGATGATGAACCTTGCGGCCCTTGCCATGATGTAGGGATTCTAATATCTGGCCCTCTAGGACGAAAGCCACCAGGTACAGCAATGACAGGAGGCGGATTAGGTGTCGCTGTGATAAATCAGATCATAAATCTCCGCAGTAACACAAATCTTGACTTACATCTTCGTTGTGCCGCATTCACCAATTGTTGTATTGTACGTGGATCAGGAGGGGCGCGGCCTTGTGATTGTAAGGTTCGATTACCTGAGTCAGTAGTCTGTAAGCCAGCCACTTGTCAATTAGATGGTGATCGCATACCTGTAGGTCTCACTGAAGTAGCTCGTTTATTCTCATAATGCAAGTGGCAGGATTCACACACATAGCGCCCACGTTGACCTGGCTCGATGGTCGCAACATAAAAACATGGCTCTCCAGTCCTAATGTTAGCCATGCAAGACGGACGATCGCAAATTCGATCTTCTTTGGCATAGGCATCCTCGGTGTACTGGGTGAGAAGTTCATAGTCTGACATGGCGCTCTGAAGGTAGTCTGCCAAGTGCATGCTAGACAGCTTAAATATCTCATGACCCGGAGATTTATGATGCGGTACATTGGGTGGTGACAAGCACTTGAGGAAAGTCTGTATCATCATGAGGAACTGGCGCCTCCAGAGACACTAAGGAGCAGTTTGAAAGAGTTAGATAGAGAATCATGAATCATATGGAACCGGCACCTCAAAAGACACTATGGAACAATCTGAAAGAGTTGAATCTGAAACGTGCAGCCCAAGAATGCTTTGGACCGCGGACAACATTTCTTAGTTCAATTAGTGGTAGTTGCAAGCCCTGACTCACTGAGAATTGGAACGTTCAGAACGTTTGGAACGTCCAGCCCAAGTAGTTACTGAACTTGACTTAGGAAGATGTGAGGCACAAGGAGGGCATTAGTGGGACGAGCGGGGCATGAGTGGCGCAAGGCCGGGCACGAATTCCGTGAATTCCCATGTTGCCGCAGCATGAACTTCTTCTAGTCAGGGGCCACTGAACTAGGTAAGTCCAAAGGAAATCACCGTTAATATAAAGTGTAACCCTGCAAGCCTCAGAGTGAGCACATTGCAATGCCCAACCAGAACAAACCTACACGTATGTACCTTTCAACTTGAAGTCACTCCCACTAGGCATCTGAACACTCTAAGCAGCCCCGCTGGACGAAATCGCACCTCATATCCTTCGCCTCTGGAAGGCCCGCCAGACCGATCGGCAGATTATCCAGGAATTGCAAAAACACATCGACACGACTCACTACGGTATCGGGTGAGTAGTGTTTAAATCTAGTTATCTAAGTGTTAAATAATTATACACTAGGCTTACCACACTTTTGAAAGTTCGAAAGACGATGGGTCTTCAACGTACCCGTCAACAGCGTCACACAGTCGAAACCATTCGTGATGCAATGCTCGATTTACGTGCTACATATCCGAATGCTGGTGCACGTGAAATGGTGAGTTTACTATACCATGAACGGGAAATGAGTGTTGCTAGGTGAGTTATCTTTACATTGTGAGGACCAATTTTACTGACCTACGAGTTTCGCATCCTAGGAGGGTTGTGACAGAGTACTTTGCTTTGTATGAACCGGAACTTGTTCGTCAGCGCAAGGCTTGTCGCCTTCGAAGGAGACGCTTCTGGGCAGCTGGCGTGAATGATTTATTCGCAGTCGATCAGCATGACAAGTGGCTCAGATTCGGTCTTGGGCTGCATACTGGCATTGAGCCTTTCTCTGGTCGTATAATGTGGATTCGGGTCTGGCATTCCAACCGAAATCCGCAGCTCATTCTGAGTTACTACCTTAACACAATCGAGGCTCTCGGTCGTAAGTGTTTCACATTTTAAAGCACAAACATACTAAGTTCGACTTAAATTTTAGATATGCCAATGGTCACTCAAAGTGATCCGGGGTCCGAAAACTATGGGATTGCAAACGCGCATACCATGCTGCGACAGTATCATGACAAAGCTTTACATGGTACGCTCCAGCATTGTTGGATGCGAACAAAGAAGAATGTTATGCCAGAGATCGCATGGTCTCAACTGCGCCGGCGGTTCACACCTGGATTCGAGAATCTTCTTGATCATGGCGTCAATTCTGGTTGGTATGATTCAAATAATACCCTTCAAGTGTGCGTCATTTTTCTTCTGTTTGAGTGTTAGTTGTCATATTTGTTTGCAGGATGGTTTTCCGTTGGGTTTTCATACCGTGGCTTCAGCAGGAGCTCGATGCATATCAGGATCGTATTAACAATACTGCCAAGCGGCACGACCGCAACAAAGTACATGCCTGTGGTTTTACTCTCAATAAGCATTGACACGCCATCCAGATTCTTCCTCATGGAGTACCCAATCTTATCTACCATTCAGCTGAAGATTTTGGAGCATTGGATTTCAAGGTACGTGCTACATCAATTTGGTTGTTGTACTGGCAATAGTACTCTAATATTGGTACTATCATAGATTCAAATCGAACCCGAGGCCCTAGACTTCGTCCGAAGTCTTTACATCAAGCCCTCTCATTGCGTGTTTGACCTGGTCCCAGAGGGTTTCGGCAAATGCATCCAGCATTGCTACAATGATCTCGGTCGCCCAGTTATCACATGACAATCAGTCTGGGACACATATCGGCTTCTGCTAGATGCCCTCCAGCTCGCTGACAAGTTACCAGGCGAAATTCAGCTGCAGGATGATGAAGATGAAGATTTTGTTCCACTTTTAGATGACTATCAAGACTTACCTTCTCGCGAGGATCCCAATGGCGCCTATTATATGGGTGGTGTGGGCGGAGGACTTGGCCTTGGTTTGTCGTCTCCAATCCTGACAGTCTAAACACTGATGTATTTGCTAGACACTGAACACTGTCGTCAACTAGATGTTCTCTCACACAGTGATGAGCCGGATATCACAACAGGGATTGACGAAAGCTTGGTCGGTCTTGATCACGCTGGTTTGGTGGTTTGGGAGTTCTCGGATTGCGAAAGTGACGATGAAATGGTAGATGGATGGTGATTTTTCTTCGTCGTGTATATATCTAGTTACCTACACCTCTTGTTCTTGGACAATTTAAACTAGGAGTACACAGGGTCCTACTGCCTATTATGGATGTGTGACGCTTAATAATGAGCGCGCGCGTCCGGCTTTCCATAGTTAATGTATAATTTTTTGCGCCCAAGAATGATTTTCTAGTGATTTGTTTGTATTTTATTTATTTATGCATTATTGGGATGTGTACTGTATTGACAAGGCATCTATCGACTGTCGCATACAAGAAACATAGTGCATTGCATATCCTGATGTCAGCATAAGCATAAAGTACTTAAAAAGTCAAACACCGCATACGCGGAGAGCAGCACGCGGACCACTATGCAAGTATACGGATGTACCGTAACATTCGTGCACGCGACGAGACTGTCGCATGACAACCGCCAGCTCGCTCTGAAGAAAAGGGATAACCTGAAGATACCGACAGGCTGCCAAGATGCGACAAGAAGTGCAAGGGACCTGGCCTAGCTAGCTGCGGCATCACCAGCCACGAACCAGTCCTACACATACCAGCTCGCGCAGTCATAGTGCGCGCGCATAGGATCCGCGGCAGTAGAATAACTCGCGCCATCTAGAACACAGTTACGCCCGATTGCGTCCCCGCATACTGGCTCTTCACGTCGTCGAGGTCTGTCGTGCCGTCCTGGCTCTTGTAATCATACCCGCTGATGCTGGCCATATCAGAAGCACCAGCAGCAGAGGAGAAGGAGCCACGCCTCTGTAAACGGTCTGACTGCGAGAATGCCATGGCAGAACCACCAATGCTTGCGGTGCTTGGCGGTCCAGCATCCTGAGAAATGATGGAGCTGGCGTAGCTACCGTACGCGCTGCGCTTCCCAACACCCCCGGAGCCACGGGGTATGCCAGGACCAAATCCACCAGCCGCTGCAAACATGGGGAGTCCAGAAGAATAAGTGGCTTGGGAGCGTAGAGACTGCACGTCAGACGGGATGTATCCGAGAGCATCATGAGTACGGTAGAAACTAGTATCGAAGCGACTTGGTGTTCCAGATCTGCCTGCACCTCCAGTGCTGGGGATGTAGTCCCGTGCATTTGTCTCGTGGCGACGAAACTGGTCCATGGACTTGACGAGGGAGCGGCGAGGTTTGCTGAATTGGATCATGCTCGCCTGTAAGTTATTCAGCGGGCCCTCGACAAGGGTGTTACGTTCCTTGTAGTGCGTAAGAAGGTAGTGCCACAGTGGGTGCTGCAAGGTTCAATCAACGGACTGCAGGATCGACCACCAAGGCGACTTACCTTGCTGAGGACCTTCGGGTTTCCAAGGATGACGACTCCATACTTTGCACGAGTCAAAGCCACGTTCAAGCGACGAGGGTCATTTAAGAAACCGATGCCCTGGTGTTCATTGCTTCTAACACAGCTCAAAATGATATAATCCTTCTCTCGTCCTTGGAAGGCGTCGACACTG